TTTTTTTTTTTTTTTTTTTTTTGGCTCCCCATTTACACGCAGTTTGCTCAGCCATTTTATTTTTTTTCTTTCCCCCGAGTATGTAGCAAATATTTAAAAGAAAAGAAAGAGGAAAAAAAATATTCAGACGTCCTTTTGCTCGTTTTGATGCTCGCGAACCGTAATTTTTAGAAGCAAGAAATAGAAGGAAAAAAAAAAACCCGAAGCTTTCTCCCCGAGGACCGAGACCATTCCACAAACTGAAGTGCTGCCAGCAGCATATGCTTTTTGCAAGAATAATTGAAACCATTAACTGGAGAGCACAGAATTCTTTTGAAAGTCTGCCAGTTATTTGCAAGTAACTTCGGCAGTGGCACAAAATATAACACTTATATTTTAACTTCTACAATTGCACTTTTAGGAGCTGGCCTCTAATTTGATTTTCAGTTGTTCTGATAAGATTTCTATTTTATGATTGGCTTTATGTTTAATTCTTGTTTAAACAAACACGATTTGACTTAAATGAAAACCTAAGTGCTGATGAATAGGAGTTCTACCAAAGCAACAAGTTAGTTATTTCTTCACATTTAACTTGAATTCACTTTTTTACCCTTTTTTTAAAAAAAAGAAGAAAAAAAAAGATCAGCAGTAAATATTGCCCTGAAGAAGGGTGTGATTGCTTGCATTTTAATTTTTGTTTTTTAATATGGCTGTAAACGTTTCCCTGGTTCGTGATACAAAATGGCTGACGTTAGAAGTGTGTCGAGAGTTTCAGAGAGGTACTTGTTCTCGGTCTGATGCAGAGTGCAAGTTCGCCCATCCATCACGGAGTTGCCATGTGGAAAATGGTCGAGTTATTGCCTGCTTTGACTCCCTAAAGGTGAGGACTGTCTAATGCGTGCATTACCTAAGCTCACTTGCTTTTCCTTCTCTTCGGAATGGCTCGGCGTGCTGGGGTGTGGGATGTGCAGAACAACTGTTTATTGCTCTGTTTCTGCAGGGAGGATGCTGCTGGTGCAGGATGTAGCTTCTGAAATCTAGGCTGAGTCTGACATCAGGTGCAATTGCCTGGAGTGCCTGGCATCGCAGGGGGAGAGAGGATTTTATCCAGAGCGTTTTCCAATGGTAGCTCAGGTCTGATATAGCTATCCTTGAAATGGAGAATGAATGCACGCTGTGGGCAGCAAATGAAACCGAAATGAGAAAAGTAGAGAACTGAAACCCAATGCTTTAATTTGTGTCCAGAGCACATTGGCTGTGCATTCGGTGCAGGGATCTGAAATGTGCTTTGAATAAGCAGAAATGAAAGCAGCATTTTAAGATAATGAATCAGCTTTATGTGTATTTCCTGGAGACAGAGTCGCAGATGCACTCTGATGCTGTCCTGTAGATGAGGAACAGCCAAAATATTTGGAGAGCAGAGCTCCCAGAAAAATGGGTGTTGGGAAAACGCTTTCTGCAAGGGGCGTGCTAACACGATGGTTCTGCTAGGCCTGTCCGAGTTACAGCTGAGCGTTTTTGCTAGTGCTCATCTTTGCAGAGTCGATTTTGCAGGCGGTGAATGGCTCTCGGTTGCTTGTCACTGTTGGAGCTCCAGGGGTGACTTTCAAAATTTTCTAAATACCTGGGGTCTGAGTCAGGGTAAGGGGACGTTGGGCATCTCTGTTCAGGGTTACTTCACTGTGGGTCTTGGGAAAGGAACGTCTACTTTTTTTATTCTTTTTCCCAAAAGTGTGGTTTCTCAAAGTTTTTTTAAATAGGATGGTAAAAACCCTGAGACAATATGGATAACTGATTGCTTTTGAGAACTCTTGACATTACGTTAAATGTTTTGATCAGAGTAATTAACTTTTTTTGAGTTTCTAGAAGGAATCTGGTCAATTTTACAAGCTTAAAAGTTTTCCCTTGAACTTCAACTGTTGCTTGAAAAGACTTGGGTTTATTTTTACAAACATAATGAGTAACAGAACTGGTGGAATTATGTGTGTACAGGTTCAGACTGGGGCTGGATCCGGTCTAACACGGGTTTACCCATTTTATTACTGTTTTGTGGCTTCTTCATATTTTCACTTCTGTTCCCTTTTACCAAGAAGCTCAAGCTTCCTATTTGGCATTCGGCTCTGCTCTTTTTAATCTGATTATATGCAGTGACTCTTAGTTATACGGTGACTTTCAAATGTTCATTTACATTGCTGGTTTGCTGACAGCGAGAGACAAAAATATTTTTATCGGAGGGAAAAAAAATAATGTTCTTTATGCCCTTGAAACTTTTGAATTGTAGCCAGTGGCAGTGCAGATAATTTGAATAAAGATGTTAATATGTTTACATTTGTAGCATTTATTTGGGAACTGAAAGGAGTGCTGCCCTGCTGTGCAGGGTAGTACCGTGCCCCTTGCAGTGTTCTGGGGAGGTGTTCCCTGTGCTGCCCCCCAGCCCCTCAGCAGCTCTGAGCTGCACTGTAGGCCAGTGTCACCTGGTGGGTGAGGCTTCCCCGTGTGTGCTGTTTGCGGTGCAGTGTCTGCAGCACGCCCAGGCTCTCTGTGTTGGCCCTTCTCTGCATGGTTGGGGCTGCGAGATGTGCAGGACCAAGTCTGTGGGCAGCTGGGGTTCAAAATCCCACCCATTGGCATGAGCAAACACTTCTGCTTCAGCAGTGGGGAATGGGATGGGGAACAGCATGATGAGAAAGCAAAAAAAATGCCAAAGGAATAGGGTATGATCTGCAGCTCAGCATGTTTCCGGTGGAACTGGCTGTTAAATAATGTTCTTGTTACAGTTTCCTCTTGACACAGTAGCAGATGCCCAGTATGTACTAGTTAAGTGGCCTGAATTTTCCAGTGAACATATTTTCAGTATTTTTCAGGTTTAGGAAAGCCTTGTGTAGGGCCAACAACTCTGCCTTTGGCAAGTGCACCAGGAGGAGAGGTCAGACTGTGCAGAGCCCTTGGCCAAGGGTTGATGATGGGGCTGTTTCTGCGCCCCACTTCTCAGACAAGAAGTGGGTCTTGGAGCAGTTCCTTCCTCCAGACCCACGGATCCAGTAGCTCTTGCTGGGCAGAGCCCCAATTCTGCTGTGCCACGGGGAAGGGCAGTCCCCAAGGCTGCAGCCTCTGTGTGTGCGCGTACACCATGCGTTTCCCAGTGGAGATAACCGCCCTGTTGACTAAACTCTGGAACAATGGTCTTTCTGTTCTTGGGCTGGAGCTGGGCTTTGCAAAACCCTGTTTGCAGTGGTGTAGAGGGCCTCGTGGTCATAAAGGTGGCCTCCCTTACTAGTGATGAGAGAGATGTTACGTTCTCAGACCTGTTAAGAAGAGGCTTTTCATGCCCATCCTGTGGATGTCTTTGTGTGCTCAGCCGCTGTTTCCCTCCGACAGCTGTTGAACACTGACCCTCTCTCCTGCGGAGGGCTCAATAGCTGCTTAGTGCTCTTTTCATCTTTTCACGCCCTGCATTAGCAGAACATCTGTGTTGCTTTATTGGAGACAGGATATAGGATGCTTGCAGCTAATAAGTTTTCCCCTTGTCTTGCAGTCGCTCAGGGCTTTGTTCAGAGGTTGCTTATCTGCATCCATTGTGTAGTGCTGTTGCTTGTTTTTTTTCCTCACAGACCTTTTAAGGCTGAACAATGCCTTCATACAGGAACTTTTGATAACCCAGCTTACAATGGCTTCACCTTGCTGGTCAGGTCACACACAGCATCTATAGCTTACTGCATTTTCACTTTTTTCTTTTTTTTTTTTTTTTTTCCTCAATTTCATACAGTAGCTCTGCCTCTGTTGCAGTGGTAAGAGCAGTAATGCTTCCAGAAGCAGACTGCTTCGGTGTGGGTTGCTTCATGGGTGAATGTGTCCCACCTGTAAGCTTGTGAAGAACACAGAGAACTCCTGCAGGTAATGGAGGAGCTTCATTGATGCTCAGGTGGGATACGCCAGGAGCGGTGTGTGGCTGTGCAATGCCTTGGCCATGAAATACTGGGTCTTGGTTAGGGTGGAAGCACAGGGCTGGATCTTGCTGTCCTGAGCTGTGGTTGTTGGAAGGGGGAGTTTGCACATTTGTAGGCAGCAGAAGGAACCTTTCTCAAGCAGATTGATATGAAACTTAAAAATAGTTCCTCGCGAGAAGCTGTTCACAGATTTGAATCGGATGCCAAGAGAGCTCTCACTCTCTACTCGCGCTTCCCCCCTCGTTATTGTGGAAGAACAGTGTTGTCTGAATTAATCTGTGTGAATGGAAGGGCAAGCTGCACTGCTTGGTGGAGGGCAGTCCAGAGACCCAAGAGAAGCCACTGCTGGGCCACCCCTTTTCAGAAGTGGCCACAAGGGCTGCTGGACAGTGGTCGATGCTCTGCGGTACCTCCTAGGCAGGTCCCATGACACCTCTGAGATGTTCTGAGCCAAGGAGAGAAGTGTACTCTCATTGCTATAAACCCAGGAGGCCTTTGAGTTCATTCATGGGCTTCGTTCCTGGCTTCGTGTGCACTGTCCCGTGTATAGCTGGTGTTTTTTGCAAGGGTCAGGACATGGTTTGCTGGCTCATGGCAATTGTACAAAGGCTTCTGTGCCACTGTGGTGGGCTGTCTGCAAGTGCTCATCAAGTCATTAACCTTTCTATTCAGGCTGGATCAGGCAGGCGTGGTATGAGCCTGTCTGATTCTTAATTCCCTGGCCAGCAAATCATTAGTTGTGTTCTTCAGTTTCTAAAGATGTCAGGGAGGAAAACAAAATCTTCTTTGGTCACTAGAAACACTAATGGAGCAGTAAGCTGAGAGATGGGGTATGAGGAGATAGTGACATATTATATAAAAATATGTAGGTAATACACACCAGGTGTTCACAGAGGCTTTGATTTATACTGCTTGCAGTTTGGGTATCTGCACTAAGAACTCACAATTTAAAAAAAAAAATAAAATTACAAGCCCAGCTTTGTGAGGTGTGTTATGTTTTGGGGTTTTTGCTTCTTGGTTGTTGTTTTTTTTTTAACTTGCTTTATGAATGTAGATATTTCCATATGCAAATCAAAGTTTTTAAGAGTATTTTGAAAGACAGAAAATAGTGTGGTGAAAATTTCAGGGATGTGAGTTTTGACTTTGGGAGGTCTAATTTGAAAAAACATCGTTAAGCTATTACACATTTCAAAGCAATTCTATATTAAAAACAAGGCAAGCTGTCTGTGAACAGGCATAAAATCGAGTTAAAAGTACAGTTTTGTCTAAATTGTCTGTTTTCTAAAAGAAGTGTTATTATCTGGTAATAGTATTCAAAGTCCCACTACAATTTAGAAAGTTCACTGTGCTTGGGCAATAAATGTACCATATGATCTTGAAAGTGGTGTACCTGAGGCTGTTCCTTATAGTGTTCATGCTAATTTGTACCTGTTTTATGCTGACTTCACTAGAATCATTTCTGACTGTTACTGGTTTGCAATCAAATCTATTTTTTTTAATTTAAATAAACTCCAAACTAGGAAACAACTAAAAACACCCACTAAACTTAGCATATGGTTATGCTTTTACAGAGGAAGAAGAAAGCAAACAAAGCTATAGAGATATTTTTGGAGACACTCTGACTGCATGTCTCAGCTTGATGTAATGGAGATGCAAATAAACCAGACTGAACAATGTTGAGCCAATTCTCACACCTTTGTGAGAAACCTTCACTCTTCCATTGGTCATTAAGGCACTTACCTGCATGGTGACAGCATTTGGTGATGAGAAGTAGATTTGCAGCAGCCTTCTGTCTTGTCTGGATGCTCGTGTGTCTTACCGCACATCATAAGTGCTTTTTATAACTACTGAATCAAACATCTGAAAGCAGGGAAAAATGTATTTAGACTCAATTTATTATTTATAAGAACTGTTGCTATTGTATTTCTTAGAG